AAAAAAAAAAAAAGAATCAGATTTCCCACCAAAAAGGTGGGAAATCAAATTTTCTAAAAACCAGGCAAATGGGCACGTGAGGGGGTGGGGGGAAATTTTTTGCCAAGAAAATAATGGCAACCAAACAAGCCAAATATGGGAAAATGGAATTCTTTTTCCAACTTGCCTAGAAAAAAAGGCATTTCAAACACAACCTTAGAGTAGATTCAACATTCGGGGTTGTGATATATAATGGGTAGACGAAGATTTAATTTTAATACTAGTGGCTTGTTTGCCAGATTTTAATCTGATTTTAATTTAAGTTAAAGTCAAACAACCAATATCAACTACATCTTTCATGGGTCCCAAATCTTTTCAACCACACATTTCAAAAACTTCTATCACATTCCACTTAAAATCTGATTTTAATCTACACCAAACACCCTCAGAACTATTTTGTGAGTTCATTCTAGGTGGATTTCGAGAACTATGAGGCGAGTTGTAAATGGTAGTGGAACTTTGTCGGAATGATTCATTTTGTGTTTAAAATTTGACTAGGAAACATTAATTAAATACATAAAAAAATTTAATTTTAATATATTATCGCGTCATTTGAAAAAAAACTTTCATATATAGTTAACTTATGTCCCATTGAATTTGAAATTAACCCCGTCACTAACAATGAGGCATCGCAATTTTATCTCCACATTAGAACTCAAAAGAACTTTATTATATGCACATAACTGAACACACAAATCCAAACCGTACAAAAGTTTATTCAATCACCCTAATTCAAGTTTTTTATTTTTTTATGCTTTTTTCCAGGCTGAGAAATATTATAACACTTGCATACTATAGAACACAAACTTGAACCTTATTCAAATGCAGATAATGCATTTGTTAATACTTTTCTCTGCCTTATTCTTTATAAGCTGATATATTAGGCATTGGCTCAAAGTCTTTCATGAAAGAGTTCTCGCCATTTGGTTTAGCATCATCATTGTAAAAAGAGATATTAGGCCTTGGTTCAAAGTCTTGTGTGATAGATTTTTCCTTTCTTAGTTTATGATCAAGATAGGCAATGACACTTGGTATTGGCTCAAAGTTTATCGCAAAAGGTCTTTTGATTTTTAGTTGCTCATCATAATGAGCTGTGATACTAGGTCTTGGTTTAAAATCTGTTGCAAAAGATCTCTCACTACTTAGTTTATCTTCACGATATGATGTGACACTAGGTCTTGGTTGAAAATTGGTTGCAAAAGATCTCTCTCTTTTTAGTTTATCATCGATACTATGTCTTGGTTCAAAATTTGTCACAAAAGATTTCTCGCTTTTTAGTTCATTATTACGATAGGTTATGGCACTAGGTCTTGGTTCAAAGTTTTCGGCAAGAGATCTCTTGCTTTTGAGTTTATCATCACGATAGGTTGTGACACTAGGTCTAGGTTCAAAGTCTTGAATAGAGGGATCGTCTCGTTCACCTTTCTCCATGGAGGTGAGACAATCTCTCCCATATTCAATAGAACTTGTATCGAGAAGACCTTGAATTGCCTTCGGCATGGGCTGATCTTTCACAACCTCTTGTCCGTACCCTTTTGGATCTTTCCGTGCATCGATAGTCATTGCGAATTGGGAAAACTCGTAGAGAAAATCAAGAAATTATAAGATAAGCAATGATGAAATAATTGTAACAGATTGGAAGCCGGACGATTACTGAGTATTTGTTATCAGTTTGTATAGTTAGTTAGTAAGTTACATGTTAGTTAGAATATAGTTAGTTATTTACAGCTCACTAGCTTAGTTAATTGTATATATATGCCTCATGACTTCAGATGAATATAGCTTCAGTTTTACATCAATTTTATCCTACACGGTTTATCATCTCTCTCAGTTTATCATATGGTATCAGAGCTAAACCTTTAGCCTTTTCAAGTTCTATCAATGGCGATTGCAACATCACATAATCCTAATGAGGACCCTGCATCTCCTTATTTTTTACATCATTCAGAAAATCACAGCTCTGTATTAGTATTCCCTGAACTCACATCAACGAATTTTTCTTCTTGGAAAAGGTCGTTTCTCTTGGCCGTATCAATTCGAAACAAATCAGCATTTCTTGATGGTACTATCACTAAACCTGCTTCTTCCAGCCCTTTATTTTTTCCATGGACTCTTGAGATCTTTATCACCGTCTATTGCATCGACAGTCTTCTACATTCAGGATGCAAATCAGATCTGGGAAAAGTTAAATCAGAGATTTTCTCAACCTGATGATTCACGAATCTGTCATCTACACAGCTTGATTTGTTCCATTTCACAGGAAACCAAATCAGTGGATGAATATTTTACTGAGCTCAATGGTCTTTGGGAAGAATTGAGAAGTTTTCGTCCGTTGCCTCATTGTTCTTGTGGGCAATGCGATCAGGATTGTTTTAAGAAGTTTGCAGAAGAAGCTCAAAAGGATCTTGTGTTTTAAGTTTCTCAATGGATTGAGTGAGTCCTACCAGGCAATCAGATCACAGATCATCATCATGAAGCCTTTTCCATCCCTAGATCAAGTATATAATATGATTTTGAGGGAAGAGAATCAAAGAAGTTTACTGATTCAGTCACAACATTTCAATGGGGCGGCTGCTATGGCTGTCAAAAGAGGACAAAATCCAGATAAAGATAAAATATGTTATCATTGTGGAAAATTAGGACACATCAAAGAACATTGTTACAAGATCATTGGATTTCCACCAGATTTCAAGTTTACCATATCAAAGCAGCCTTATTAGAATTCAAGAACTATCAATCAAACTTATGTTGCTCAAGATAATAGTCAAAGAGTTCAAGCATCGAATCTCAGTCTTTTCAAGGATCATGTTCAAAAACTCATGGCTCTCATCTCTGATCAGAACACGATTGGCAATGCTAATACTTCAAATCCTTCTTCAACTTCAATCAATTGTGCAGGTGATGTCTTTTCTATCTTTTCTCACAAAAACACAAATAAACTCTAAACACTTTTCACATCAAAATTCAGCGAGATACCTTGGATTGTTGATACAGGGGCCACTGATCATATAATATGTTCCTTAGACCTGTTTGATTCTTACATCTCAGTATCAAATTTATCTGTCTATCTTCCTGATGGAAACAAAATTCAAGTTAGCCATGTTGGGACGGTTATTCTTAATCCATTGCTAAGTCTGCACAATGTATTACTTGTGCCCTCTTTCACATTCAATCTAATGTCTGTTAGCAAACTAACACTCAAATCCCAACTGTGTTTCATCTTTTTGTCTCATCATTATTTTATCTAGGCCCTTTCCTTATGGACAACGATTAGGTTGGCTGAAATGAGAGGAGGACTCTTCTACCTACAACAATCCTATCAACCTCATATAAGTTCTATAGTTCCTTCAAATTTACAAGACATTTATGTAGTATCTCAATGTAAATCTGACTGTAAGGTGACCATTGATGTATGGCACCATAGATTAGGACATCTATCTATGCATAAGATTTCTTCTCTCATTCCTGATGTAATAAGTCCAGAAATTCCAATATGTACTACATGTCCTCGAGCTAAACAAAAGAGGCTTCCTTTTCCAATTCATATCAATAAAACTACACAGTTATTTCAACTTATACAACAACCACACACCCCAGGAATAAGAGAATCTGATATTTCTGGGAACCATTATTTTGTCATCATTGTTGATGACTTCTCAAAAGGCGTTTGGACATACCTCATGAAACACAAATCAGATGTATCAAACATATTACCTCAGTTTCATAATTTTGTTCATACTCAGTTTAAATCCAAAATTCAGATCATTAGATCAGACAATGGGTTGGAATTTTTTCTTCCTACCTTTTATAATTCTCATGGAATCATACATCAAACATCTTGTCCCTACACACCTCAACAAAACGGTGTTGTCAAAAGAAAACATCAACACATCATCAACATTGCTAGATCTGCCTTATATCTGATCAATAGAACACCAACTCATATACTAAATGGCTCAACACCCTATGAACTTCTATATAAACAGAAACCACAGTACTCACACCTCAGGTCATTTGGATGTCTAGCCTTTGCTGTAAATCTTGCTCATCATAGAAGAAAATTTGATCCTAGATCAAAATCTTGTGTATTCATTGGATATTTTTCCACAATTAAAGGATATAAATTGTATGATCTTGGTTCAAAATCTATCTTCTTTTTCAGAGATGTCGAGTTTCATGAAACATCTTTTCCTTTTCTAAAAGCAAAGTCAAATTCTGAAATTTCTCTTCCTAACTTTGTCTTTCCTTATATTCCTGATACAATCACTGATTATACCAATCAAGATTCTTCTTTTCCCACTTCATTTGACCAGCATTCATCAGACACAAATACCAATTCTTGCAATGACAATTCTACTGAAATGCAAACCTCAGACGCATCTACCTATATTCATTCACTCAGAAAAAGTTCCAGAATATCCAAACCCCCATCATACCTTAAAGATTATCACAGCACACTTCAAAACAAAGATCAATTTCCATCTTCCTCTAGTGTCATTGTTCATCCAATCCATTTCATACAATTTCTTCAAACAACTAGTTCTATCCATTTCTTCACTTCCTGACCCTCTGACCTTTAAGCAAGCCAAGTGTTTTGATCATTGGATTGAAGCCATGAATTCTGACCTTGCCTCCTTAGAAGCCTATGAAACTTGGACCATCACGACTTTACCTGTTGGACACAAAGCTATTGGATGCAAATGGGTTTATAAAACCAAGTATCATTCAGATGGATCTCTAGAAAGACACAAGGCTCGCCTTGTTGCAAAAGGTTTCAATCAAAGAGAAGGATTTGATTACCTGGAAACTTTTAGCCCGGTTGTTAAGCATACAAAAGTCAGAGTTTTTGAAACATCTTTTCCTTTTCTAAAAGTAAAGTCAAATTCTGAAATTTCTCTTCCTAACTTTGCCTTTCCTTATATTCCTGATACAATCACTGATTATACCAATCAAGATTCTTCTTTTCCCACTTCATTTGACCAGCATTCATCAGACACAAATACCAATTCTTGCAATGAAAATTCTACTGAAATGCAAACCTCAGACGCCTCTACCTATATTCCTTCACTCAGAAAAAGTTCCAGAATATCCAAACCCCCATCATACCTTAAAGATTATCACAGCACACTTCAAAACAAAGATCAATTTCCATCTTCCTCTAGTGTCACTATTCATCCAATCCAAGGTCACATTTCATACAATTTCTTCAAACAACTAGTTCTATCCATTTCTTCACTTCCTGACCCTCTGACCTTTGGGCAAGCCAAGTGTTTTGATCATTGGATTGAAGCCATGGATTCTGACCTTTCCTCCTTAGAAGCCTGTGAAACTTGGACCATCACCACTTTACCTGTTGGACACAAAGCTATTGGATGCAAATGGGTTTATAAAACCAAGTATCATTCAGATGGATTTCTAGAAAGACACAAGGCTCACCTTGTTGCAAAAGGTTTCAGTCAAAGAGAAGGATTTGATTACCAAGAAACTTTTAGCTCGGTCGTTAAGCATACAACGGTTAGAGTTTTTCTTTCTCTTGCTGCAATTAATGGATGGCATTTAGCTCAACTTGACATTAATAATGCCTTTCTTAATGGCACTTTGGAGGAGGATGTGTATATGGAAATTCCTCAAGGTTACCAGATTAAGGGGGGGAAGGGATGTAAATCTGGTAACATGATGCAAGGTAACATAATGCAGAAATGTGAATCTGAAAAATTAGTGTGCAAACTCCAAAAATCCTTATATGGTCTAAAACAGGCATCGAGGCAATGGAATATAAAGTTTACAGATTCTTTGATGCAACTCGGATTTAAGCAATCAAAATCAGATTATTCACTCTTCACCAGATCATTAGGAGCAGATTTTGTGGCTTTATTGGTTTATGTCGATGACATAGCCATTGCTAGCAATAATAATTCAATAATTGAGCAGCTGAAAATAGAGCTAAATGTGTTTTTCAAACTCAAAGATTTAGGGACTTTAAGATACTTTCTTGGCCTTGAATTGGCAAGATCAAAGTCTGGGATTTCTGTTTCCTAGAGAAAATATGCATTAGAAATGCTAGAAGAATTTGGACAACTGGGAGCTAAGCCTAGCAACATACCAATCGAGGTGAATCATAAATTGGTTCATTCAGATCAGGTTATTGAAGATGCAACCAGATATAGACAACTCGTGGGAAAGCTGATGTATCTTACTCTTACTAGACCAGACATCTGTTATGCAGTTCACATTTTGACTCAGTTCATGGATAGGCCTGCTGAAATTCACTTACAGGCAGCATATAAGGTGCTGAAGTATATCAAGCAAGCACCTGGACAAGGGATCTTATTTTCCGCATCATCAAATTTTCAGATTAGAGCTTACTCAGACAGTGATTGGGGTGGATGTAATGAAACCAGAAGATCATTAACAGGTTTTTGCATATTCTTAGGAGATTCATTGATTAGTTGGTAGTCCAAAAAGCAAACCGTTGTTTCAAGAAGCTCAGCTGAAGCTGAGTATAGATCTATGGCATCAACTACTTGTGAAATCATTTGGTTAATTTCTCTATTACGAGATTT